AAAAAAAAACCAGCCGCCTATGTTTGGAAAGAGAAATGTTAATAACGAAAACGATATTGAAAAAGTGGATAGCAAAGGATATCCAATAAAAAGGATAGCCTTACTCAGCGGCCCTCCTGGATTAGGAAAAACAACTCTAGCCCATATAGCAGCCAAACATGCCGGTTATAATGTTGTGGAAATCAATGCGAGTGATGAAAGGACTCCAGATACGTTTAGGTACAATGCACAAAACTCATTTGATATTAGCGACACATTCGGAAGTTACATTATATTTTCGTTTAGACAGATTCTACTTGCATCAACAGAAATGAAAGCTGTAATGGGCGCTGATCCCCGTCCAAATTGTTTAATTTTTGATGAGATTGATGGTGCACCGGCTGCATCTATCGAGCTTTTATTAAAATTTATTCAAGGCAAACTAGTGCCGAAAAATAAAAAGGGAAAAGGACAATCAGAAAAAACGTCTGATGGCTGTACACGTCCCGTAATATGCATTTGTAATGAACCATATACTCCATCATTAAGGTATTTTAACTAAAAGAAATTAATCAAAGAAATTACTATAATGAGTTAAAAGAATAAATGTAATATTTTAAATTTTACATTTATAGAGCGTTAAGAGCCGCCGCTGTAATAATTCCGGTACCGGAAGTAAGTCCTTTAAGATTAGCAGAACGTTTAATGGATTTGGCAAGAAAGGAAAAGTTAAATGTAGACTTTGGAGATCTTGTGAAGATAGCAGAAAGATCCGGCTGTGACGTTCGAGCTTGCATAGGGGCGTTACAATATATGGGTAGTGCCAACTTGAAAGATAATTTATCTTTAGGTCTGAAAGACACGCGTAAAAATTTGTTTGATTCGTGGAAAAGTATACTAACAATTCCTATGAACAAAGGGGGAGTTCTTACTATTCCTGAAAGAATCCAGAATATTTTGAGAACTGTACAAAATGGTAATTATATAAAATTAATTGTTTACGCACTTTAATGCAATAATTTACAATTTTTTGTATTAAAAATTTTAATATAGGCGTTTTTTTGTGTGTTTAATTGTTCATTAGGTGAGATGGAAAAATTGGCACAAGGAATATTTCATAATTATCCTGAAATCTGTGACCGAAAACTCGATAATGTACCTATGTCTCTGGAATGGTTTCAATTTTATGATTTAATAACGTCGCTCGTTACATACAAGCAGATTTGGTCACTTATGCCATACACGAATTATGGATTTATCGCGTGGCACTTGCATCTTGCAAGAACGCAGAAAGTGAAATTGTCATATCCCACTGTTATCAACGAAGCAAGTATTATATATCAAGAGAAAAATTCAATTATTTGACCAGAAAAAAATACACGGTTTTTTTTTAATTATATGGATCTAAATTATCTAGATATTATGCGGAATGATTATTAATTATTTAGCGAGATATCGCAATTTAAAGTAACTCCTGTTTTATGATTTCAGCACG